GCAAAAGGTAAAGATGAAGGAAATGGGAAAGATTGAGTGGAGATCTGAAAATATGGGGTAGTGGTGGGCATAGATCAACGATGATTAATTTTACAAAACATAATGCAAACACAATAGTATGAAACACAATGTGAATGAAGGAAAGGGTGAAACACAATATAGACGAATTTTGTATACAAACCAATACTAAAACAAGAAAAATAGCAAACTTTGAGTTGCAATACTGAGGGATTTCTATGGACAAAATCTTGACTAATGCAGGAAGAATAAAAAGAAGATGGAAGGAATACATAGAGTCACTGTATGAAACAGAACTGATCAACAATGAAACATGTCAGAAAAAGCCAGGCCCTAAAATATTACATCATGCTTGAAAATGTAGAGGGTCAGTGAAAAAGAGGAAGTTTTGCACAGTATTATGACTGAGCACATCGAATTTTAATGAGTCAGAGCAGTCCCAACATCACCTGACAACATCGAAGTTGAGGTGAATAACAGTGATTTTACAATGAATGCTGGTGGCAAAGAATCTGTCTGGGTCATTCTTTCAGATTTTTGGTAATATACCTAGGAGTGGAAGTATACACAAACAATATGGTTTTTATTTGTATTTCCCTTCTGATTAGTGATGTTGAGCATGTGTTCATGTGCTTATTGTCATTTATGTATCTGGAGAAATGTCTATTCAAGATTTCTTGCCCATTGTTAATTGAGTTATTTATATTTTTGTTGTTAAGTCATAATAATTTTTTTTACATTCTGTGTAAGAAACCTTTACTTGGCTTCCACATATTTACTTCCATTCACTATGTCTCTCTTTATTGTGATTTGAGTTAAAATTTACAAAGCAAAAAAAAGTAATTTATAATGCGATTTATAAGACATTGTAATAAATTTGTTTGTTAATAACTTTTACGTAAGATAAACTAAAGTGTCTGTGAACAATTGAATGGGAAAACCAACATGATTTGTAAACTTTGACTGAATTAAAAGAAGGGAGTTATGACTTAGACTCCTAGATCCACCAGGGTCTTCTCCAAGTAAGTATAAGATAGAACATCAGAAGGAGAGCAGCAAAAGCAGGCAGACCAAGAGCACTGAGCTTACAGAGGCATGCTTGTTCAGAACATTTATCCTGCCCTTTTTACTGCACTGAAAGTTGAGTAAACTCGTGGCTGTTCCAGGATGAAAGAAAAAGCACGTAGGGTCAGAATTACAGTTCAGAGGTGCCCAGGACAGATAAAGCATGAGGACAGTTGAAGTATACTTCAGAGAAATGGAGAGGTGGTGATATTGAAAGAACCATGAGGGACTTTTCATTAGCACATCACATCCCAGCCATTGGCCCCCACCAATGGACATGAATCCACCAGACAGCAAAAGTTAAGGGAGGTGGCGGGAAGAGTGGGGGAGAGGAGGAAACAGCAAAACAAAACTAGCTGTTGTCAAATCCAGTCCAACTTTGGATGGCTCCAGTGGATGTCAGAATAGAACTCTCCTCTGTGCTCCGTGGCTCATTTTAGGAAAGTACACCACCAAGGCTTTTTCATCCAAAATATTTTTTAGTAGATTTGAACTTCCAATCTTTTGATTAGTAACTGGATGTTTCAAACTCCTCTGCATCCAGGGACTCCTAGCAAAGTGGAGACTCAATATTCCTGGCCCGTTCCTCCCACCTCCCACATCTCCCTTTTTTTCACCCATTCCTTGTTGAAAAAATATATTACTTACATGAGGAGGGGTTGTACCCGAAATAAAGAAATGCATTGGCTCCAACTTATGCTTTTCTTTTAACAGTAGTGCAGTCATAAGGGCAATATAGGATCCCATACTAAGTTGGGGAAAGAAAAAAAAATTATAATAGCTTTGCAGCAAAACTCACCATAATCCATCCTAAACCAACAAGGGCAAATATTATCAACACAGCAATATCGTAAATTAGTGAACAGAAAAGCACAAATTAATTACATAATAATAACTCTGACTTCTTTGTAGAAAGTATTTTTCATGTTTATTATCAGCCTAAAAAATATATAAAGGCATCCCAGACATTTTAAATTAGCTCACAGTCCACAGAGAGTTGCACCGCTCACCCAAAGAAAGGACTTCTCTGGTGGTTCGAATCCTCCCTCAGTTCTATGGGAGAACGGTGGACCATCTGCAATGTGATTTACAGCCTCTGATAACCCTCGGGAGGGTCAGCTACTAGTTGGTTCTAACTCGATGGCAATGAGAGAGACTTCAGCCTACCAATTTAATACCAATTTCCACAATTTCTTGAAATTAATTTATATTAATCAAATTGATATTTCCTTTTATCCCTTAAAGATTTTTTATTTGATGGTATGAGCCCGCATGGTTTCAAAGTGTGGTCTGAGAAATCTGTAAAACCCAAAATTAAATCCCCAAACACCAAGACAAACATTAAACATAAATTCATGATTGAAAAAATTTCAAAATGCCATTTAAAGCAGACTTCATATACCTGTGGCCAAAAAACGCGAACGGTTTATCCTGGAGCACTGGCAGCAGCGCACAAGCAATTTCTGCAGCTATGTGGTGCATGTCGCTCGCAACAGGCTCTTCCCAGCGACTTTCTCTTCCAGCAAGTCTTATAGAGTACACTGGAGATGGAGAAATGCAGAGCAATACATGTGCATGAGATAGTGTGATTTTTTTTTAATAATAAAATTTTCATAAAGATTTACAGCTATGGGACACCTTTATTTTATTTTATTTATTTCCTGTCATTTCATTTCATACTGGTTTACTTACAAAGTTTGTATACATTGATTTTCACTCTGGATCTTTCCCATTTCCTTTACCCTCCCCACCCTCCTCCACCCATCAGATTGTGTGACCCTATGATTACACCCTGGCCCATCCTCACCCTTCTGGCCCCCCACTGGATCCTCATACATGTTTTACTAGTTATCTGTTTCTATAATAGTGGTCTTATACAGTATTTGTCCTTATGCGACTGAGTTAGTTCACTTAGCATAATGTTCTCCAGTCCTGATAGTGTGATTCTTTTAAAAAGGGGCTTATATACGTAGTTCTTACTTATTAAAATAGGTTGCTTCTAAATATCATCATAATCTAAAGATTATGCAAATATTGGCAACGTGTGAAAATGGAGAATGATCACTTTTGATTACAAGAGGGAGGATTGCTCCATCATTACAGAACTGCCAAATTACATTAGTATAGAATGACCAAATAACGTCAGTACACAACTGACAAATCACTATGAACCCTTGACCTAGCTAAGTTGACACATAACTTTAAACATCACAGGCAATAAATAATAATAATATTTTCTTGCTCTTCAGCATTTATTACTGACAGATGTACACCATTATTTCACAAAATTACTGGGTAGGTTTTTTTTTATTGTTTTAAATGAATGTTGGCTAGCAACGCAGCAGATGAGGAGTGGGTTTCTTACTAAGATGTGAGCAACTTGAAAAAGCAGAAGAGATTTTCAAGCACCAATTGGCAAACACTGAAAAGTTTAGCAATAAAAATATCTTCAGAATATAAAGCAATAAGATAATTGAATACACTGCTGTGGAAGTATGATTCATTGCAATTCTTCTGGAGTGCAAGAGAACAAATGTGCTGCTGAAGGAATTTATGCCCTGTTGTTGTTTTATTAAGTATTGTCAAATCAGTTTCAAAACTCAGAGCAACCCCGTGAGCAATAAAATGCTGCCGATCCTTTGCAGTCCTCATCATCTTCACTGTTTGAGCCCAAGGTACAGCCACTGTGTCAGTCTATCTAGTTGAAAGCATAGTGTGTTACAAACTGTGCTGCTAAGCCAAATACTGGCAGTTTGTCTCCATCCCCTGCTCCGTGGGAGAAAGATGAATAATCTCTTGGAGAGATTTCGAGCCTCAAAAACCAGAGGCAGGGTTACCGTGAGTCAGAATGGAATTGATCGCAGTGGTTTTGGCTTTTTGGTGTTCTCCTTCTAGTGCCTTACCCTTCGTGGTAACATGACCCATGTATGTGAGTCAAAGTTTCACCTTCCTTGCTTCTAAGGAGCATTCTGGATGTACTTTTCCCAAGACAAATGTATTCCTTTGTCTGGAAGACTAATCTTGAACAAGGGTGCATTGTGGAGTGGGCTAGGGGAGCGGAGGGATACAGGCACTATGGAGGGGACAGGTGAGAAAATGTGCAACAATGAATATATTAAAAAATACTTTAAAAATATTTTTAAAAAAGAAAACATGGAAGGAAACTGTTTATCATCTGCTTGGGAAAATTTATCCATATGAATCAAGTTTAAATATTAGAATTTGAAGATTAAAACACATCTTCTGTATCGTCAGACAAATTACGAAGTAATTTAAGAAGGTTAGTAAATCCTGATGATATCAGACTTTGGAAAGCAAGATAACATTGAAATAAAAGTTTGAAATGTCCCTTACCAAAGCCATATTAGAGATGTAGTAACTTCAGTAATATTGCAATATTGATGATTGCCTAAGGAATTAACTAAAACAGAGGTCAACAAACTATGGCCAGTTGTATAGCAGCTTTTTTTTTAAAAAAAGAATGTTATGAAATGCAGCACATTTTTAAGTGTATTTTCTATGGCTGCTTTCATGCAACAATAGATTTAAGCAGTTATGATAAAGATTGTATGGTCCACAAACTTAAAATATTTACTACCTGAACCTGAACTTTGAAGTCTGGCGACATAGTATATAATACAACACTCCGCTGCTAACCAGAATGTTAATGGTTTGTAGTCACCAATTGCTCCTCGGAATAAAGAGATGGCAATCTGCTTCCATTAAGATTGATAATGTTGGAAATTAAGTGGGCAGTTCTGCTTTGTCATATAAAGTCACTATGAGTAGGCTGGTAGTGGGTTGGGTTGGGTTTTTATCTAAACTTTAACAGAATGTCAATTCCTGTACTAGAAGATGAACTTCACTCAACTAAGAAATTATTGGGGAAATTTTGGTAAGAAGACTGCTGATGAGTTTGAATATTTTAAATGGTAGTTCAAAAACTTTAAAAAAATAGTTAAGGTTTGAAAAATAGTTGGTGGTGTTGTTACGTGCTGTCAAGTCATCTGGAATTCATAATAACCCTGTGTACAGTAACTCTGAAGCCTGCCCTATCTTGAGCCAATACCTATGTATTTAGATGTGTTGCAAATATATTAATAAATATAGTAGAGCATATGGGGGAGGAAATAATGAAAACTCTTAGCCATACCCAAACATCTTGAAGGAATGAGCTGTTAGATTTAGAGGCTTAGGATCAAAGTCTGTTGTCTTGTGAACATTGGCAATGTGAACACTGTCCACAAAGACACTGTTTTGCATCCTACTTTGGTGAATACCTAACTTTTTGTTGTTGTGTGTCATTGAATTAGAACAGACTCATAGCTGACCCTCCAGGAGGATTTTAAGAAGCTGTATATCACACAGAAGAAGATTGCCCTTCTTTCTTCTGCAAAGCAGCTGGTAAATTTGAATCAGGAGCTTTGGATTGGCAGTGCAACTCCTTACCACTAGGCCACTAGAGCACCCTCAACAACTAACTAATGTACAACTACTGATCTCTTCTTGTACAAAGCAGAGAAGAGTGAAGAAGATAAAAGACCCAAGGAAACAGTTTGATCAAAGGATTGATGGACCCCAACCTCTATAGCCCTGAGTCTGAAGAACTGGATGATGTCTTGCTATTACTTCTGACCTCTCTGAAGGATCACAATAGAAGGTCCTAGATAGAATGGTAGAAGAGGAACAAAATAATAAAAATACCAGGCTTAGAAAACACTTGAAAAATACTCAAAATTATTAGCTATTAGAGAGAAACAAATCAAAACAACAATGAGATAGGCTGTCATCTCAGCAACAATAGCCAAGTTCAACAGGGCAGGAAACCACAAATGCTGGTGAGGATGTAGAGAAAGTGGAATTCTCATTCACTGATGATGGGAATGTAAAATGTTGCAACAACTATGGAGGGCAGTCTGGTGCTTCCTCAGAAAGTTGGATGTGAAAATGCCATTTGACCCACCTATCCACTGCTGGGAATATACTCCCCAACAATCAGTGCTGCAACACAAACAGATATGTGCATACTTATGCTTATCACAGCATTAGTCAATATAGCAAAGAGATAGAAACAGCCTAATGACGGAATGGCTGGATTTATGCAATGAAATACCACACAGCACTGAAGAATATGAACTCATAAAACAATATGCAATGTGTATAACTCTAAAAGACATTATGATCAATGAAACATCTCAGTCACAAAGGAACAAATACTGCACAAGTCCATTATTGTAATAATAGGATCGGGATGGAGGGAAAGTGGGAGAGCAGGAAAAGAATGGCTAATGAATACTGCACTGGAATGAGTGAAAGTAAGGACAATCTGAAAGGAGTGGGCAATTAGATACTGTGTATGACAATTAGTAGTCTTACAAGGGGAATTGAGGAAGGGGAGGGGAGGAAAGTGTGTAAGAATGAATAAATAATAGAAAAAATACTAAAAAGAAATGGGAGTGGAGGGAAGCCTAGATATACTCATCTGAGAAAGATTGGTAGAATCCTTCACACTACAGCATCTAGAAACCTTCAACCTTCAAGCTTAAAACAGAACTCATCCTTTTTTTAAAAAATTTATTTTATTTCATTATTTTTTGTGTGTACTGTCAAATCAGATCTGACTGGTACAGTAGGAGATTGTTCCTCCTTCTCCAGCAGAGCATCTGGTGGATTCGAACCGGGCATATCTGAGATTGCAGTTGCAGCTTCTTGCCACTAGGCCACCAGAGCTCGCCTCATCCTTTTTTAAAAAAA